TTCAGCTTCATGATACGTCCAAAATGCAAGATGCTTGATTTTAGCAAACTTCCCACCTGTGAGCAAGGAGCTGGGGACTTGCTCCTTCTAAGGGGAAGAACACTCTGGCTCTCGTTTGTTGATTAAATATGCATATATGGAGGCTTTAAAATATGTGACTTAGTTTCATGTTACACTCTGGGTTGGAGCAGGAGAGAGGCTTAAACAGAAAACCAGGTGTAAAATGGGAAACACTTCTTAGCTAATACCACAGTAATAAAAAAAAAGGAAAGAAAACCCATACTGCCTTTATTTTCTGAGAGGAAGAAAACCTCAGGCCTTACACACATTTACACACATGGCAACTGAATTGACCTGCAGATTCTCAACACTGTCAGTTAAGGTCTGAGGCTTAGTTATGTTTTTACATTTCACTAAAGCTATTAAGGGGAGAAAACAAAATGCTATTTTAAGAATACATTTATTTGAGGTGGGTCCTTTACTCATAATTAGAGCATTGTATGACAACATGTGAGGTAAGTTCTCAGTAGTAACCTCAGTGCTCTTGGAAACAAGTAGAAGTATTTCTGTTTCCGGTGTGATTAACACACTTCTCATAGTTACTGCTCCTTACTGTGTATTTGTTTATTGAGTACTTAGTTCTACTTTCTCTGGCAGTCCACTACCCTGAATTTTCAGGGTTACAGTGGGTTTCACCCACTTGATTATCCCCCAATACTGCAGAAAGCACTTGCAATTATTTTAATAGTATTACTTAAGCCACCCGGCTTGTAGGGAAAATCATGACCGGGGTCATGGAAGAAGGCAGTAAGGACACTACACCTGGGCGTTTAAAAACGAGCAAACAAAAAACCACCCAGGGCAACCTCCTCTGCCTTAGTACGTGGTGCCATAAATACTTAAGCATGTGAAAACCTTCATGGGCTTGATTAATCTAATTGAAGACCCAAGTAATCCAGGGAAGCCTGCAGGTACTCACATGGATGAGAACTTCTGCGCGTGACTGACTCTGTTCAAGTGTCGCCTGCATGTGTCGGGATTCATGACTGGCCGCACCACTCTTTCACGGACGCACATCTATACGGCACAAAGAGGTATAATCATATCACTTTGCTGTTGGCTATGTCTGAAATCCTCTCTATCCCCGAAACAGTGCGTTTTTTTGTACTTTTCAATTTTACAGTTTTTAATGAAAAAAATACTGAGAAGGTACCCAAAATAAGAACTGCTGTATTGTAGTCATGTGCAAAATTGTGTGCAAAGTGCTGAGGGGCTCTGTTGTTGGCCCTAAAGAGACCAGAAACTACCTTTGGCACAACCTTAACAGCACTGGAAATGGAAGATCTATGGGGCAGTCAGCTCTGTCCTGCATGGCTCATAGGTGGCCATGTCTATTGAAGAAGGATGTTCAGTTCCTAAATAATGTTGTTTCAAAGATACTTGTCACCTAGTAGGAACATTTTTTAGGGTTTGGTTTTTTTAATTCATTCCCTGTAACTTGTGATTGAAAGTACTTCCATGGCTGAATGTTGACTTGAAAACAAAAAGAAAATTTGATTGCTGTCTGTCACACTTGAGCTTCTAAATGCACAGTTGTCATCCTAAACATGAGGTAGCTAGACAGTTCTTTTAAGAGCCTAAATATAACAACTGCTTCTATTAAAGCCAGTGTGCTTAGTTTTCAATTGCCATTCCCCTCATTGTGTTTTTCAAACTTCACCACTGCTTAAAAATTATGCTTGAGAAGTTGAATTCTGGTAAAGCATGCAGACTGGCCTGAGCAGCTAGCCTGAGCTGACAGACTAAATGCTTAGCAGGATTTTCCTATGGTATGAGAAATAAAATCGTATAGCTGTTCTCATTTCTCTCCTCTCTGCTTTCATTTCCACAAATGTGAAAGCTTCTAGTAAGTTTAAAAGACCAGAGGAAATGCAGCTGCATGGCTTGTTTTGGAATTGCAGTTTGCATTACTTTGGTAGGTTTACCTCTTAAAACCACTTTGCTGTTGAGTTGAACTTTATGTTTTTAATGTAATGTTAAAGCACATCAAACATAGTTTTTAATATTACTGATTCATCCCACTCTAGAATTAGCAGCACTAACTGAGATTGTGTACTGTTTTCCTAGACTTTGCTTTATTGTTTGCATTTCATATTCCTTTGGTCTTAACATGCCTATACTGCATGTGGGGATACATCACAGTTTTCCTGCTGAAACTGACAAAATACTTTTCTGCAAAACCACTTTTTGGAGCTCCCTCTGGCTTAACAAGCAATCCAGTGAAGTGATTTTCACCACTGCACCATCCTGCATCACCTGTGAAGCAGTCCTGATGAGGAGCGAAGCGAAGGAAAGAGAAGGGAAGACAAGCATCCAGAGCTGGTTGGCCTGCTGCAGGCATGGATGTCATTCTGTGGAAACTTTTCAGCTTCCCCTACAGTTCTCCTTTTGGACAAAAGGGCAGGTTTGGTTGTTCCTCTGTCCCTAGGTGTGTTTCTACCAGCCAGCTCTATCTCTCTTTGAAGACCAGTCTGCTTTCTGACAGGCATCACAGTGTTGTTTTAAAAAGGCATTTTGTTATATATATATATATATATATATATATATATATATATATATATTTGCTATTCAAAAAGGCACTCTCACGGAAGATAGTGCGAGGCAGCTCCACAATGAACATCACAAGGACCACTGCTAGACTTCTGCGAGGAAACAGGGATGTGTGAGCCCATTCATGTCAGGGGTAACAGACACCACCAAGGGGCTGTCCAGCCTCGAGGTACACAACAAAGGAGGAGGCATGCTTGCCATGGGCTGTACAAACTGCCTTCAGGTGGGTGATCAGCGACAGGCCACAAGTAAGCCTGCCCCTTGGTCATGGGTCAAGAAAGGGCCTGTAAAAGCAGGTAGCAACCTGTTACCCTGCTGCTGGAAAGTTCATCCAGGCATTTAACATCACCCTGGATGCTCCTGATGCAGCCCATAGTTGTGGAGCCTGTGTCCTGACTCCTGCCCTCAGCAGGTGATAGCAGCGCTAAAATCTTCACAACAAGCCCCGAGTACCCAGCTTTGCTCTCTGACAGATCAAGCATCGATGAGCATTTTTCTCTTCGAACTGATTCAAACAACCTTCGAGCCGTGACTGAGTTGTATGTGCAGAACTTCAAAACCAATGAGATTACCCAGTGAATGTTAAAATCCGTCCCCAGTCAAAATACAATCTCAGCATCTCCTCTGACTACGGATGATGTAGGGGTTGGACGCATGCAGGAGGACTAACTCTCAAGGTTACTGTTTCACCCAGTGAGCTGTTGTGTTAGTTTTCAGCTGACAGCACTTTATGTACAGGGGACAGCAAGGAATTAAACCGAGTACCGCACACCAGCTGTTCAGAAGGCAAGAAAAAGGAGAAGTCAGCCCATCTAGACAGGGAAAGCAGGGCTGGAGCTTTCCTTCAGGTGTCAGGCAACAAATCTACCTGATTAAAAATTCATTGTTTATAATATGAAATCTCTACGCAGTGAGCCCCAGCATCAGAGACTCTCATCACCACGGCGCTGGCAGCAAACCGTGACTGATGGAATGGATACACAGAGCCAATGACTAACCAAGACGAGTTCAGTTTTTAATACAAAAACCTATGGCAGGTTTAAGTAAAAATAAAAACACTTATTGCTGGTATACCTTTTCTGAAACCCATTGGTGTTAGGAAAGGCTGCTACAGAGCAGCTAGCCTGAGGGCAGCGCGGTAGCGCACTGGTGCAAACAAGGACAATATTTGCATCCATTTATATTCACGTCACAGTGTGGATTCTTAATAGCCTTCCTGCCAGGCGTTGCTCAATAGTCCATTTGGAGAACCTATGGATCAACTTTATTTTTAAAAGTTTGACGTCTCACTCTGCAGTGGGAAAGCAATCGGAAAAGGTGGCCAGAGGAAAGTGCCGTTTCCCATGCTTATTTTACTGTTCTTTCTGTAGCTTCTTGTTTGCTGTATCATCTAGTTCAGCTATAGGCTCCAACACTGTCACATTTTATTCTACTTAATTGCCTATGATAAAGACTACAGAATAAAAATATTACTATTGCTTATGGTGCTCTGGCACTGAAGAGCTTGTCCTGTTGTTTTGCCACCACAGTATGAAATGCTGAGTAATAACCAAAGCATTTGCTTGGATCGACTGCTTATGAGGACCTGCCACTTTTTAGGGTGATCTTCCAAAGGTTGATACCTTCCTGTTGAAAGTACAATTCCTATATAAAACATTGTGACAGCTCTCATCTTGCTTGCTCGCTTATCTTCAAACAGCCATGAAAGAGCCTGGGTTTGTCCCTGCTATGTGGATGCTGGATCTGGGGCTGGACAGAGTAGGGCACTTGTGCTGCATCCCTAAAGTTGGACAAACCCCTGTTATTTGCCTTCTTGGTTAACAAGGTGAAAAAAGCAGCTGCTTTCTCACTTCTAGATATGTAATTTCAGGTCTGACTCTCTATGCATAGAGACCTCTAGTTTTTGACATACGGGGGTTCTGAGTAGGGTTTCACATGGGCTCTCCAGGACTTAACCAAGTCGGCAGTGAGAACTGGGAATGACAGACTTTTCATGGCCTGTTTCAAGCTGTGATTTTATTCAACTGGATTTACACGCCACGATGCTACAACCACCTTACCTGGGGATGTTGGCTTGGCGGGGGGGGGGGAGGGCGGGAGCCGAAATGTGCCTTAGAGTGTGTTTCGGCCCCTCCTCCTCACCCGTCCTCCCCCTTCTAGGTATTGCCCACCCCTCTCTAGATACTGCACCTTACACAGTAACCGGTATTAATCCGAACCACAGCAAATCTTCATGCCAGTTTAATCCCATTGCAATCTGTCCCTTCCACCCCCGGAGGGTCCTGAATTAGGTCAAGCGGGTTTACTTTAGGGTTTTATTTATGGATCTAGGGAGTTTTGGGTGTTTTTTTCTCCTGGTGATTGCACGCACAGCCACCCCCCGTGGGTTCCTCATCCTTGCAGGAGGCGGGGATGGAGGCGGGGAGCGGCGGGAGCTTTAGCCGATGGCAGCGGCTGCCCGGCAGCGGATGCCAGCGGCAACGGGACGATGGCGAGAAGCCGTGTGGTTTACAAGTACACGGAGGCGGAGGACAAGAGCATGCGGCTGGGATTCCTCCTCATCGCAGCCGGCTTGCTGTCCCTGCTGGGCTTGGGGTGCTGCTGGCTGCGCCCGGCGCTGCAGGAGCGGGGCGGCGGCGGCTCCGCCAACTGCACGGTGCTGGCTGTGCGGCAGCTCGGAGAGCGCTTCTCCTGCACCTTCTCCTGCGGGGCCGCCTGCCGCGGCACGGCTCGGTACCCCTGCCTGCAGGTCCTGGTCCGCACCTCCCGCTCCCCAGCGCCCGCCCTGCTTCATGAGGACGAGCGGCAGCTCCGCACCAACCCCAAGGTGAGACCCGCGCTCCCAAAATGAGGGCTACGGGGGGTTATAGGGATGCGTCCCGGGGGGCAAATCCTGCCCCCTTCGCCCTTCACTGCCCCGTCACTGCCCCTTGTGCCCGTCTTGCCCAAAGGGTCCCCTCCAACAGCTCTCCGTTCGGGTGCGGGTTTTTCTCTGATGGGGGGATAGATGAAGTCACGGCATCCCCCGTAAATGCCCTTGTGCTGTTACTTAGCAAGAAGTACATATATTTATATATGAAGACACACTATACATGGTATGCATGTATATATATGTGGTGGTGTGTGTACATATGTAGAGTGTCTATGTATGCACTCATAGTGTCTATGCATGCACTATCACTATACACGATGTGTATAGTGTCTATACCTCTATCTCTATATATAACTATGCATATATATTTTTGTATATACATATCTTTATATAAATATATGTGTGTAACTATCTATCTATATCTATCTGCATCTATTTATATCTATAACTATATATATATATCGATATCTATCTATATCAGTATAGATATTTGTATATCTATGTATCTATTTCCCCAGGCAGACCCAGACCCAGCTCTCCCTTTCAGCCGTGGGAGCGGCGCCGCCCCGGCCCCCAGTCTCCCTGAGCGCACTCCGCTGGGATGCTGGTGCGAAACCAGGGAGAAACTGTTGCTGCTGACTGGGAGGTCTGCCCGAGCAGCGCCTGGTGCTGTGGCTCTGGGTGTCCCACAGGGTGAGGGGCTTCCCAGAGCCGCTCCATTACAATTTCCAGCTGGAATTGTAATGGAGCAGCTGCAGATGGGGTGCTGGGGACAGGCTGTGCTGGAACAGAAGTTTCCTCGGTGCTGTTTTGATTCTTAAACTTCTCCATCACCCATATGAAAATGGACCAAACGGAAGCGTCTTTAAAGTTGCATCTTCCAGCAAACTAGGGTAGTCTGAAGGCAACGTGTGACTTGTGATTTTTCTGTCTTTACAGGCAGTTATTCTGCTTTCTACTTTTCATGCTCGGTACAGCTCACTTTGCCAGCATGCTGCCTGAGCGGGGTGTGTTTAGTTTAGTAGTTTCCAGAAAATAAAACCTGTGGCAGAATCCACCTCCTGAAAGAAGCTGAAACCAGGAGTGTGTTGGAAAAGGAAATTTCATCTCTTCAACCGAGATATGGCTGTAGCGCAGTGCCAAGAGCCATGCTAAGCACGATACAGGGGTCTGCGCGCAGGGACTGAGCAGCAGACTTCCATGTCCAGTTTGGGATGCATTGCCTCACATCTCCACAGTCACAGTTACACCAGTGTGGATCCATCTCTTGGATTAAGTTGCAGACTTGGGGTTCACGGCTTGTTTTTTGCCCCTTGGCAGCTTATGGGCTTGGAAGGGTGGTCGGGGCAAAAATCAAGAGAGTGAGAAGCAGGATGAGAAGTGTGACAGGATTTGGGTTGAATTGTTGACACCGTTCCGAAGTGGTGAGCAGTGAAGTTGGATGGTGCCTGGTAGCAAAGTGGATGAATCAGCCTGTGTGAGAGCTTTACGAACTTCACCTTTCCCTGGGGGTGCTCCTGCCAGGCTCCACAGAGCGAGTTGTGGTTATGGAAACACGCATCATGAGCTGCCCCAGCACCAGTACTTCCCTCAAATTCTCTCAGACTCCAGGCAGGCAGCAGGTAGGTGGTGAAATGTGGGAGAAAAGCCACCCTTTTAATGGGAGATGGGAAGTAAGCAGTGCCACCAGCACACCTGGGCTCACAGCTCCTGCAGATCCTTAGTGTCAGCACAGGCATCCAAACTGGGCTCTGACCGCCATGTCTCTCTGAGTAGTCAGGGAGTTTTGGTTTGGTTTTGCTTCTCCTGCCTTCCTGGAAGTCTGGTGGGAAGAGGAGGATTGTGCCTTTCGCAGGGCTGGATTGCAGTTTCTGCAGAGAGGCACCTAGAGGTTCAAGCCATGCCCGCAAATGTCACTCAGAAGCCTATATTTTATTTAACAATTAATAAACATAGGGCTGTGTGTTGGCAGTGAGTTGCACTTGCACGCTCTTACAAATCCAAGGTCTAGCTAGTACCTTGCATCTCTAGGTGTTGGTTGTTTACGCTGGGATGTTGATTGCTGAGGATTAAATCTGATTTACTAGATGAGACCAAGCAGAAAGGATGCATTTTTTGATGTAACCGCATTCTCTGGTAGTAATTGGATTTAACTAAGTGGAAAACAACATGGAAAAATAGTGCGCTCCAATTTTTTTCCTTACCTTAAGAAGCTTATGTAAACCCAATATAGAATAAAAAGAAGTTATTTAGGTCTCATTAGGAAAACATACCCTTTTAAGGGAATGAAGCATGCATAGCTGCTGCTTTGGTTTTCTCTTTTTTTCCCCTCACTTAATGTCTGTGGAGATGATTCTCCTTTTAATTTTTGTCCTGAAGTCACACCGTCCTTAAAAGCTCTCAGAATTTTATCCTGAAATAGGTCAGTCATAGCAACAGAGTAGGAATCTGCTGGATTTAATGCTTGGGATCCAGTCTGTATTTATGAATGAACACTGAAGGGGAGCCATTTAACCCTTCCTGTGTCCATCGCCTTCTTGCATCACACTTGCTTGTTCATGCAATTAGACATACAACACGCTGATCAGCTCCAACTAACTGGAACTGAAGAAAAAGACCAATTTTGTTTTGAACAGTGTTCAGATTTTACACTGCTCAGCTGCTTCTCTTTGTGGGTAGCAATTTCTCCTTGTAAATCAATAGCACAGGAAAAGCATAGCTCAGGCTCCTTACAACACACAATACTGAATCAGTTGGCAGCTAAACTCTGCTCCAGAAGTCCCCAGTGTGCTGGACTCAAATTCTCATACTTTCTGCAGCAGTGGGCTGATGCATAACCGCATTGGCAGCTCAGATCTGGCTGTTCCAGCGAGGTCTAGCTCCTAGGAAAAAGAAATTAATTATTTTTCTTGCTTGCTTCCTAATCACATCATTGTACAGCCCAGGATTCATTTTAGCTCTTAAAGGATTATATATAGCTGGGTCAGAGTTAATCCAGAAATGTATGTATGAAGCAGCAGGCATGATTACATTTGTATCCAGTATCAGTGATTTGAGGAATTCTTTTCTTTTTCCTTGTCGTCTCAGAAGAAGAAATTTCAGCAGAGTGACGGTGCCTTTCTTCAGCTGCCTTCATAGCAATAATAATCTCCGAGATAAGGCTTAAGGGGGATTAATACCAAAGTCAATTTGTCACTATCATTCTGGCCATCAAGTCCCTTGGCAGCACACACAACTAGTGCAAGCATCAGGCTACAGGTTTGGCTGGGTAAAATAACAGGGGGGTACATCAGCTTCTCAAAATATCAGTTCTCTGGCTCTTTAGACTTTCCCCTTTCTGCGCATGAAGTTAAGTGTAGGGCTGGAAGAACCTGCACACTGTTCTGTTGAGAAACTTTTAGGCAGTGACTGGTGAGCCTGATCTTAGCAGCTGTGCAGAAGGACCCAGTTCTCCCTGTCTCCATCCCTGGACAGGGGAGCAGAGCAGCCAGCTGCGGCTCCTTGTCTGTGCTCCACATCTGTGCCTGCTCCTGCCGCACTTCTTTCTGTATCTGTTCACCCTGACAAGGTGATGTACTGTTACTGCTTCTGTGCACTTGTAAATAGAACTGGTTTGTTTGGGGTTTTGGATTCTCCTAAGTATGACCCATGATGAAGGAGGTTTAATAGCAAAATATGCCCAGCTACAACATTTGCCTACAGCAATTTCGTGAGGGTCTGGTGAAGCACCAGCTCCGTGTTCCGGCCGGTGCCCTTGACAGGCAAACACTGCAGATGCTGCCTAGCAGTTTTTTAGGTAAACCCTATAAGTCCCACCACCCTCCTGTTTTGCTTGGGGTGCCTCTCTCTGCCTTGAGCCTCTGATCACTCCTGGTGGGTTTTCCTCTGCTGATGGATGCAGGTGAAAACCAGCTGTGGTGCTCAGCTCCAGCTCCCTTGGTACAGTCAGCTGGAGGAGATGTTTTTTTATACTTATGGAGCGAGTCCCCCTGCTCAACTTCTGCTATGGTGGGATGGTTCTGGCAGCACTAGTTCCCTTACAGGCCATGAAGATAACCCAGTAACATGCAGAGATGCTCACACACAAAGCTAGGAGAAGCTGAGGCTGAAGACTTTCTTCTTAGTGCAACCGCTTTGTCTTCTGATGGGCTGAATTGCTTCTGCTTTGGGCTCTTACATGCATTTGCGTTTGGGACATTCTTGGTCTTGTCTTCCGATAGTGTCTTCCAGGACTGAGGTAGCTTCCCTCGGAGCCTACCAAGTCTGACTTCTTTTTCATAAAAAATATGATTGAATTGCTTTGAAAAGCATGAGATGCAACCTGGAAGCTAAACCATGGTCAAGGGTTCATGCCTCCATCTCTTCTCTATGATATGGAAGAATATCTGCTCTGATGAAGGGTTCAGAAGGACCAGGACTCTTCCTAGGCATCTGCAAAGACACTGGTGTGGCGGCATCCAGCAGCAAAAACAGATACAGATCTTACAAAACCTCAGTGCAAAGGTATATTAGTTACTCGCTGATGTTTTTGCTGAATTACATCCTGACTCCTCTATCCAAACACTGGCTCTGATTGAAGGGAGAATATTGTTAACCTGATAACGATTTTGAGCTGTGTAATTGAGACTGTATTTGAATTACATAATAATTTTATCGTTGCTATGACATAGCGTAGGAGGTGAGATTACAGCACCGTGAGCCAATAGGTCTGCTGAAAAGACCTCGGCTCCATTAGATTTATTCTGAATGTCTGATCTCTAGAGCTGTTCTCCAACTTCATTGTAACTTGTTCAAGGGGGGAAAAATAAATCAAAGGAATACAGGGTGGAACACTTAAACTGAAAATGGATGCTGATGCATGAACTGCGATTGAGCACAAGCCATCCCAGCTTGCTTTCAAACACTTGGCATTTATTCATGTTTTGATGGCAGGATTTCATGCTGTGTCTCATGGGGGAGGACTGCAGAATTAACCTTTCAGAAACTGCTTGTTGCCGAAGCGGGAGGTCGTTTCAGGTTCACCCACCAGCTCATGGCAGCAAAAGTTGCCAGGTTTTTTGGAGGGTGATACAGTTGGTCAAGCAAAGTCCCCAAGAAGCGTGCTTGGGAGGCTGAGAAAAGACAGGCCCACTACCCATGTGGATCAGAAAGGGCCAAAATGGTTGGTGGGAACTGTGCTGGCCTCCCGGGGAAGAAAACAAACTCCAGTGCTTGTGCAGCACAGTGGAGTTGGACCTTGGGTATTCACTATGGCTCGAATCCTTCATCAAGTCAAGAAGATGTTTCAGGGTGACCCTTGGGATTCATGTAATGAAGATTTCACCTTGAGCAGGGACCACTTCTCCTCTGCAAGACTGTTAATCTTCAACAGGCTCAAGCAAGGAGGACCCATCGTTTTAAGGCAAGCCCCTGGGTGTCTCCTTTGTGTTTTCCACAGGAAGATAAAGAGGAACAGAAGGCAATGAATCCAACATGGTTTCTGTTAGCTGTCATTGGAATTACTTGTGCAAAGAGTGTTATGAAGTTTTAGTTGCAGAGAGCTTATTCACTGTTGTCCCCAATTTGAGGGAGGTGGAAGGTCTCTGAAGTACACAGAGAAAGTTTGGCCAGCAGAGGAGAGGTGGGGTGGTCACACTTTCATAGAAGAGGATGAATAGGCTCAGCCACGAGGAAGAAACATTTGAGAGGAGAGAGGGAAGCGTGCAGAATCTGTTGACTCCATGCAGCTGCTGCATAGATGTGTTTGTGCACTGGGAGCATGGAGGAAAGAGGAGTGTGGTTGATGCTTCCAAAGTACACAACCAAACTAAAACCACTGCCAGCTAAGGAATATTATTGAAGATAGAAACAACTGCATGTGACAAATCCTGTGTTGTGGTTCCTGGAGCAGAGTGGTGTTGCTGCTCATTTCTGTCCTTTGTGATCAGCAGTGGGACAATCCTTGTTCAGGGTCATCTGAATGGTGATCTAAAGGGAGCATTGTTCCATGGCAACATGCAATGTGGGCCTATGTGAAAACAGGGGCCCTTGTATGTGAAATTTCACCTTGGAAGCCACAAGCAGGACCTTGTGAATTCTTTTAGTCTGAAGCATGGAAGCTGTTGGCAGCATTGTAAGTGCTGACAGAAGTGGTCAGGTTTTACATGATCAGGCCGGTAAGATCCTGGTATTTCTCCCCTTCCCCTGGAATGGTGAAGATTCTAGTTGTTGTATGGTGGAGATGGACTTGTAGGTCTGTACAGCTTGGGTACAGCATGCAGCGTGGGACACGGTAGGCCCCTGTGATACCTCACTAGATGGAGAGGGAGAGGAAGCACTAGCAGGCACAGTGAGTCATGTTTATTTTCAGGTTAAAGTATCTCTCTCTACTTGCTGTTACTGCCTTCAGGGTACTATGAAGAAACTCATGTTGTGATCATATGTGGAGATCCCTTTAGGGGCTTCCCCTGCACCTCCTGCTTCCTCATCCTACTTAAGAGACTTTTCAGCTACCTTCACGGACACATTTTCTGCTTGCAGCTCCCAGTTTTAAAGGAATTAAAAGATCTATGTGTGCACCTGGAGTCTTGCTGTCCATGTGTCCTCCAGGGTGAAAAGCCTTGATGATTTCCAAGGACCAGTTTAGCCTTGTTACTCAGTTTTGTTCAACATCTCCTGTAATGCTCTCCTGTACCAATGCTTGGGAAAAATAGGAGGGGTTGTGCAGTGAGATCCTGCAACTACCAACACCGGATTCAGTGGGTTGTTTTTTCTTGTTTAATTCCCTGTGGCTAGGAGGGAGGGTGGTGTGTCAAAGACGTGACATGGAAACAAGGTGTGTGCATTGTGTGTGACCCAGAGTGGAGTCTCTGAAAACCCAGCCCCAAGTGCACCAAGCTGGGGCACGAACTTCCCTTGATCTCTTTGGGCTTTGAAGCAGATGTCTGAGGGTGAGATCTGGAGATATAGCTCAGCTGCACGCTCAACCCTTGTTGAATCTGCTGATCCTTTCTGCTGAAGTGGAGCTTTGAACTTTCTCTGCTTGTTTCCCCATGTTGTAACAGTGCAAGAATACTTGTCTTTTGCCAGTGGATGTCAGCCACATATCAGATATTCCGTCATATGGGAAAGCCTGCTGGAATATTTTGGTTATTAGCATGGTGGTAAAAAAACCTTGCAATTATGTGCCTCACTGAAGCTAGGAAGCAATTAAAATCTAATCCATGTGCTGACTAGGAATACGTCAAAATTAAATGATCATTTTTCCATTCACCACACAAACCCCCAAGGTGTTATGTGGCAGGTTGGTTTGATAATGGAACAAAAGAGGATAAAGCCCTTATTTCGTTTCTGAATGGTGGCATATTCTTTTCCAGTACCTTCAGGGAGTAACTAGCAATTGAAGTAAAGTTCAACAACTAACTTTTTTGTTTCATTGAACATTGAATTTACTCTTTGCTTATTTCAGTCACACTGTTATTGTGAGGAAAATGCAGAGAGAGTGATGTCCTGTGTTTCTGAATGCAGAAGTAACTCTGTTTTGCAACGTGTGTTGGCAGTGTTCATACATCCCTCCCTGCACAAGAGACGATCAGGAGAACTCTGAGAATGTCACATACAAGCAGAAATACTGGAAGAAGAAAGTGGGTTCACAACCATTTACATGCTACTTTAACCAGCACTTGAGGTGAGTAATCTACATTTGCATAGCAGAAGTGCTTACACATCTGTTTAACAGCTGTCCACTGGTTCCGTTTGAAAATACATACAAATGTATGCATATATATAAACATACACAGCCATAGAGTCATGTGGTTTATCAAACAGACTTTAGTGCAGAGCTTCACAAGACGACTCTATTGATGAAAAGCTACAGAGAAAGTGGAAAACAGTTTTTACCACTCAAAGTAAAAACATGAAATTCTGAGGAAAGTTTTCCTTAAGAACATGTAATCTTAAGGCAAAATCTTGGCTTTTAACACTTATGTGGCAAATTTCTGGTTTGGATATTGATATTTCTTCCCTCCATGGAAGAGAAATCCTACTGTGTTCATGAGGGGCTGGAAGAAAAGGGGAGATCAGTAAACAGTACAAAGCAACCCAGGGATTGTGTTCACAGAGGATTAATTAGTCAGATACGTGTAACAAACATTCACAGAACTGCCAGTTTTCACACATGCCTGCAGAGTAGAAACTTGTAACTTAAAACATCTCGTCTTCTGTTGCAATTCTTACTTTTACTACTGATGTTACTGTGACTTACACAAGTATAAGGTGTTGTTTCCTTCTTTCAGTGGGAAGCGGAGGGGGAGGGAATCTTTTTGCCTATCTCTTTCTGACAATGATGTGTTGGGGAATAAAAGGTTACCACAATGTGCAGGCTTGCTGGGAGCACTTGGGAGAACAGCAGTGACTGGAATGATAGGTCCATGTAGACAGGGAGGTGAAAAATATTTAAGATCTCCAAATCAGCCAGGGTTTTACGGGGTTTAGACTCCAATTCTGGAGGCATATGACATGTGCTTAGTTTGATCAAAATGAATAATTTTGAGAGCTGGGGAGGCTGTTCTTGGTTGCTAAGTTAAGAACTCATATAAGTATCTGCCACATCAGGGACTAAAGGAAGAGGCTGGTCCTACTCCACCAGCCCTTGGATGTTAAACAGATGAGGCAGACCTAGGTGGGAATAGCTTGGGGCTTGCAGGTGCAATTCAGGGCTCAGTGTGGGAGTGTTGGCATCAGATATTGAAGTTTATTAAGGCACCCGGGAGGCAAGTGGGTGCCAGTGTGTGCTAGGACTTTGGAGGAGCTGGAGAGCTGGAGCAGGGCGGCAGGTGGAGAGATTCCCAGCTCTCCCGCGGGTGGCCTCCTGAGTGCCTTGGGGGCTTCAGATTTGCCCTAGGCCGGCTTTGTTTGTTGTGTCCTGTCCCCCATCCCCATCCCCTCCCACAGCACCCCCCCCCCCGAGAGACGGTAGACCTGGTTGGCATGCTCAGGCTGACACTCTGCTGTCCCTGGTTAACTTTTTGCAGAGGGAAACCACCAATACTTTGGTAGCAAAGCCAAGTTATTTCTTACAGTGGGGAAAGAAGCACTGTCTACAGAATGCAGAGGTTAAAAGTTAGGGCTCCCTGTGCAGTGACATCAGGCCTGGAAAGGACCTTCTTGGGAGCTGTTTTGGTTCACAATGTGCCAATGCTTGCATCTGCTAAGCAGCAGCCACCAAATGACTGTTTTGGCATCTCTAGACAGAGAGGTGCTGCTAGTTCACCAGCTGAGACTGAGTGAGCAGGGTAGTCAGAAACATGGGAGCTTCTGCAGAAGACATCATGGCCAGGATTCACCTGAGGTGGTAGGACAAGGTGCTGTGCAAATTATCTCTTATAGTCAGTGGGGAGAATCCAGAGCCTTTCATCTTAGCCAAAAATAAATGCCTAATGGGGGTCAGATGCCCAGAGATGTTTATTTCTCTCCTGTAAAGGAGCTTAGGGTGATCTGCTCAGGTGCAGGCACCTAGGTGGTCGGTGTCCAGAGCTATGGAAGCTGGTTCTCACATCACATCTGTAGATGAAGCAGAAGCAAAATTGTTCTGAGGCTGCACAGTACCTAGGGTCTGCCATTTATGTAGGTTGACACTGAGGAATTATGCAGCACTCAGACAGAGTTTTTTCCTTATAGCTGCTGTATCCTATTACTGTTAAATGTTCTTACCAAATGCAATGTCTGCCCTGAAACACTGCCTTTTGCTGTTCATACAACAATTTATTTACAGCAGAAGAGAGGCTTGCTGCCAGAGATACTTGAAGATAGTCTAAGCTGAAATGTGAACACCATTTATTTTCTTCTGGAGATGGGAATGAACTTTAAAAGATAAGTTTTGCTGACTAGGAATGTGCTTGCTTAAGTATACTTTTAGAGTTACAATGACTAAATAACTTATGAAGAAATCAAAACCATACAAACTGAGGGGAAAACCTGTTCACTTCGTAATAAAGTGTGTGTATTTCCTGTCAGTATTTTTTTAACTGTGTGGATGAGCTAATTCTCTGTGTTAGTCTGTATAAAACATATGGAATATAGTGGTGGGTTCCTTAGAGTAAATAGGATTTGCAATATTAATACTCCCTTTTGAAAAACAAGAGTAAAATTCTAGGTAAATATCAACAACTGAGCATCGTCTCCTCTTCATTGAACTGAAATTAGCATAATTCTCAGAATTGTTGCTGCATGAGGAGGGCACAGTTAGGCAAGACCTCCCTTCAGTTTGGTGGGGCACGTTTCAACAGGCTGCTTTGAAAAGAACAAGTGATGCCATTTGTACAGTTCAAAGTTATACAAAAAGGGTGAGAAGCAGACTTTGCAATTTCAGTCATTCTCAGTTAACACAGAGATGCCCAACATAACGAGCTGTCTGACATTGATCTTAGAGAGCCAAAGCACAGCTTAGCTTGGAGCTCAGCATTTTACTGAAAAGTGAGGTTTTGCTTTGCCACCAGAGACAATTACCTTTAGGGTCCCACTCTCTTCTGGCTAGCTTTGGGCCACGTGGTGCAAGCTGCATGACAAAGTCACTTTTCCAGAGCTCTAGTGAAGGTGCCTGTCTGTTGACATGATGATACTCCAGTCTGAAGGGAGCCCTGCCCAGAAGAAACCAACCCCCAGTGTTTCAGAGCACAAAATAAGTGACACATTCAGATTAAGTTCTCAGGTTGTTGCCAAAGGTTTGAGAAGGCATCAAGCTCTAGTGCTTCAGTGTTCTGGATCTCACACCATGTTCCAGGGGGTCTGTAGTCATGAACACCTGCAGATAAGGGTCACAGCTGCATGCCCTGAAGTGGGAGGCCTGCGGAAACGTATGGGATGGGAGAGACCCTGTCACTTCATTTCTTCACATTCCAGGTGTTATTGACAGCAACAACAAGAACAAAAATAGAAAACCCAAGATCTCCATCACCTCAGACCCTTCAGTCCATGCCATGCAGAGACATGCAGAGCAACATAAGTCAGGTCTTATTAGTGGCTCATTTACGTGGCATTATTGCTTTTTAGCACTGGATTCATCCATTATAGCAAGTACGTTCTGTGGTTCCTTTGCTGTGGTGCAGCAGATGAGCCAGCCATGCTTTATACTTCCCTGTGTTTGCTGCAGGATGCTGTGAACAAATCCACCTGAGATCTGAAAAGCAAGCACTGTCTGGTGATTAATGCCCACCTGTATAGTGTTGGGATACCCTGCAGGCCATTTATCTGTGAATAATTGTCTGCAGAAGCCAAAGGTGCTCTGGTAATAGGGTTTCTCATTCATAAATGATGGAACAGAAATCTCAGTGTGTTCCAGTACTTCATAAAGTTTCCCAAATTAATTCCCTCCAATCAGAAGAGGGTGTTGCTATTTCCTATCCTTTCTTTTACTGTATAACCTGTAGAGCAGTGCTCAGGGCTGAGAGGGAAAGGAATTTACTGTTAGTAAGATGTAGCTCTGCCTCCATGTGCAGCTGTTCCAGCTGAGGATCTCTGTGTCTCGCAACAATAGGGGAAAAAATACTGATGAGTGCTTGTCATAGTGAAAGGATGTGAATAATTCTGGGAAAAATAAGTGTGTGCAGATTGAAAACATCTTTAAATCCAGATTGTTTGAATACAAACAATATTTGTAAGGTTTCCCTGTCCCCTGCCTCTGTCAGCTTTCTCCGTGTCTCATAAATCGCATGGTACGGTGCAGAAGTGATGACTAAAATGTTTATGTGCTTGTAAATTTTGGTCCTGCATGACTTCTTGGTAATCCTGCACTGCAATTCTTCCCATGACATTTACTAATTGTTTAGAAGGCTCTGATGAAGGCCTGCTTTACCCAGTGTCTGTTTGAACTCTTGGTAGCACCTAACAGGGATGTGTTGCATCATGCAACAAGTAATCCAGTTACCCCTGGTCAGAGCCCCACAAGGCTCCAGCCCTAAGCTCAAAGTCCTGCTAAAAATAAGTACTGGTTTCACCTTTTAGCAAGGAAAAACGGATTCCTCCCACCATCTCTGTTCAATGAAAGGTAAAGGCGTGTTTTCAGAGTGAAAGTAGAGATTTCCTTAGGGTTGTTTTTAGTTTGTTCATTCTTCTTTCACCCTGTGGGCTGTGGGGCAGTGGGGGTTGTGCTTCACAGTGGCCATTGCTGTTTGCAGCAGAACCAAGTCTTGATGCCTGAGCAGCGCCTGAAACTTTTCAGGTTTTGCTCTCCCTTTTGTCCCAGTAGGTCTCTCTCTTGCCCTGCCACTGATTTATGCATTGATAACTGGTGTTAGGAGTTTAGGTGCATCCACTTGAGAGGCTTTGCATTTACTAGACACGTGAATAGCAGCATTGCTTGAAACAAGAGATGCTCCATGACCGAGCTTAGGGGGAACATGTGCAACCCCTCTGGTCAACATCTTTGAACTGAAATATCATATGGATGCCATAGAGCAAAGGTGGGTTTATTAAATGCGCTATATTTGCAGATACAAGGAAATATGTTTATTTCCCTGCTGATTTTCACAGGGAAAAGAAACACATTTCCAGGCATGATATACCTCTTCCGGGTTCAGCTCCGCTGCCTCAGCACCATGGGAGAGATGCTGTGCGGACTTCCAGCAAAGCTGTGTCTTTGTCATGAGATAGTTTCCTGAGGGAATAAGGACACCTTTCCTTTTGTGTTTC